GTACCGTTTAATACCTTCTTAACAAAGGATGTCAATGTTTCCTACAAAGTTTAATAGGTACAAATATATCAAGATTTTTGTTGACCAAAAATATTATCAACAAATTGCTGAACGGTCAAAGATCAGTGGAAATCTGTTTGGGCTTATTATCTGTTAACACTTGTACTTGAGGCGGCCATGATGGTAAATGGTTATTTTGGTTATGCAGTGCTTAACAATTTTATTATTAGCTCCAAAAGTAATTAAAAACTACCCGCAATGCAAAAGTATATAGGCATCCATCACTAGTCTAATTTTATTTATTTATTTACACTTCTTGTAGGTATACAATGGCGGACTTATGCCTAGTGGCATTCTCTAACAGTCAACCTTAGGGTGATGCAGAGAGACACAATAGTAGGTGTAAACGTTTAACACTTGTGAGTTTTGATCATACATTGACATGTAGATATAATTAACATTACATATAATAAACATTAACATTATTATTAAATTTAAATTAACATCAACATCATACATAATTATACACATCACACAATATATACTAATTAAATGTAATGAAGAGGTATTAAAATATAGGTTAATAGGTAATGCAAAACGAACAATAGACAAATAGGTAAGTATGGGACATATATATATAGCTAAATATATGAAGGAAAATATATAACATAATATAACATATATACATACATAATTATGTATGCGTACAAGAACTAAGTGTGTGTTGAGTCTGATAGCCTCTTCTGTACATACTCACGACCCTTAAATTTTAAGGATAGACGACTGGTCGCCGTCCTGATATCCGTCGGCATCGCATTCCACAGCAAGATGGATTGGACGAAAAAAGAAGAGTGAAGGATGTCAGTTCGATGTGTGGGACATTGTAACAGAAGATTATTAGAAGAACGGAGGTATTTGCTGTTTATCTAATGTGCCTGAACGAACTAAATACATGCACACCTCCAATTTTCCCGTGTATGTTATTCACATTTACAAAGAAATAATTGGGAAGAACTGAATTCTCAAAGAGCTAGACTACAGCAAAAACATAAAATAAAAATGTAATTAGATGTATGTTTGTGTCTGGGCTCTTCTATAAACGTCCTCTTGTGTAAATTCTAATATATTCATTTTTCAACTAGACCATTAGACTGTTATACCTAAGCAAGATTACTTTTTAATAATTTTCAGGACATAAAGCAGATATATACTCGTGCAATCAAGGCAGTTTTTCGCTGATTACGTAGTAGATATGTTGCTAAATTCTGTGAAATACTTGTTTACTTCGGATATGAATACCTACGTATGTACGTACTACGTGCCAAAAAGTAGGTGAGTAATAGGTAGAAGTACTTTGAAACTGTCACTTGGAAAAAATGTTTTGATTAATTCCAAAAATCATGTTCCGGCTAGATTAATGGTGTGCCTACTAGTCTATACCTAGGGCTTGGGAAGTAGGGACACACTTAGGTAGGCACGTTATTTATCTGCAAGTGGCGCCATTGCCATGGCGCTGACGGCGCCTTATCACCACCGTCATTGAAAAACATCGTTTACGCAAGCAGTATTTATCAATGAAAGCAAGTTTTTCTTATCGTCCACGGCTGTCGTAGTGTGAGGTGACTTGTAGGTAGTGTAAGTACTTACGAGTACTCGAAGATTCATGTTATGTACCTACCTAATTAAAATTTCATAGTGTTTTATTCACTTTGATAATTAATCGTCAAATTACTGGTAATTCTGGTACTTAGTTCATTTCGGGAACTTATAAAATTGTATATTTATGGTGGAGTGGTCAAGCCACAGAATAAGAAATAGTACATACCTACAGGTAGTAGAGCCTAGCTGCTGCTTAAATAAACGGTGCGGTCCGATCGAAATCTTCAAGTTCAACCCTGTCAAGGATTACCAGCGTTAAGTGGTGACGTAATATTATTGCGTTTCGTCTGGTAAGCGAGAGTTCCGGATGTCCATCCACAGTTTGATTGCGATATCATTTTCAGGGGAATTCCTCCCCAGAAACGATGACGCAATCCCAAGTTTCCTACATGATCCGAATCACATTTGTGATACCTGGAATCCTGTACCTTTGGTGTTGCATGTATAAATAAGTTACGGTACCCAATTACCAGTAATTAATAACATTAATAAATGACTAAAGGCACTGTATGAGTTTGAGCTTGACCTAGGTGCTGGATAACAACGAGGTAGATAGGAGGCAGTGATGTGTTAATGTTAAAATTTTTCTTAAATAAGGGAACACAATGTTCAGTGGCTTGCAGATGAACCTACTCCAATTAATTTGTCACATTTATTTATTGTATTTTTGACTTTATGTCAATTTAATAAAATTGATGATGTAATAAGGAAATTTGACAGAAAAAGGATAGGTCGACCTGCTGGCCACCGTACATATAAGTGAACAATGGCTAGTGATCGTTAATTATTATTGTAAATACTAAGTAGTCAAGATAATCAGTTAAGTATCTAAAATCTTGAAACAAAATCTTTAGTCTGTTTCGACTGTCTCGACTTGACAAAAAGCTAAGTAGCGCATGCACATTTTATAGTAAATTTCTATAGGCACCCCTACACACCGAGGTAGGTACATGACCTTTTCAAGCAGGTATCTGCAGGTGTACAAGAGTTGTCGGTAGGGATATAAACCATAAAGCCCCGTAAATTCGCCTAGCAGAAAACACAAAGTGATATAAAATACAGACTGTTGGAGTTTGTTGATTCAGGTAGCGTGCCGCACGATTATACTCCGTACTCCTTACGTGTGCCTGTGCAAAAAACACCTCTGGCCCATTCGATGTATAATTTCTTGGCATAAATAAATAACAATATGCCTATGTTTGCTCCAACAAGGCCTATATGTTAATTGAGCTCCTGTAACCTACTGAGAATTATTTTCAAGGTTCCAATACTTCCAATAGTCTCAGCATTGTAGTTACATTATATATAGGAATTAATACGTGACGTAAAGTCCTTGATCCTTTTTTTTCCGAAAATTATAGGGGTGAAGAAGTATAAAAATTTAGTTAGCATAGTAAAAGTTTTACAGAGAAGGAGTAAAATTGTTTAATAATAAAATTAATAGGAGTGAGAATAAATACTTAAATTATCACTGCCAAACATTTAACACAAACATATTAATAAAAATGTACATAAATAATGTCGTCGATTAGTAGGCACGCGATCTCTACTATCTGTATGTCTACATAAAAAAAGAGAAAACTTAATTAGATGCCCTGAGTGTTTTGTAGATTTGCAGGGAGGTCACTCTATGTGAGCAATGTATTAAAAACGAAGAAAACATCACACGTGAGGCATAAAATAATTTCTGAGTTGCGTTTTTATTGGACATAATTGGCACGTAAGTTTTCCAGGCATGGCCGACGCATGATGTAATGCGTTGTTAGTAATGTGACTCGAGTGTTCGATGCGCAGTTGACCCCAATCGCCCCCAATCGAAGGACTAAATTGTTTGTCCAATCAAGTGATATTATCTTTCAAAAATAGTATGATATTATTCTAGTCATTTAAAATTTGAAATCATCAGTTACACATCTATCTGCTATCAAAGTTATGAGGGGCTTACAATTTAGAAAACTAGTACGTTACCGGCTGCGTATAGGCTTTGCTTGGTAGTTAGTACCTACCTACTTATTTTAAATAGAAATAGGACTACATAATGAAAATTATGGAATTGATTGTAAGGCTCTGGACTCTGGTTATAGTCAAAAGTAAGAAACTATGGAAACAAATAAATTATGAAGTTGCAATAAGGTAAGTAGCATAAAGTCCCTTACAGATATGACAAGATCAATGTATTGTTTTGTTAATAATACTACAGAAGATGATATTGATTATCGATAGGCAATGCATGGTGTAGTGTAGAAACATAGCATGTATAAGTTGCTACGAAGATTTTACAAGGATGCTGTCACACATTGCTAGGGCGTCGATCCCCTTGTTATAGCTAATTGACCCGCTTAAGGTGACACTGACCGTCTCGACTTTTAGCAAGTCTGCTTATTGATGCCAATGCAAAAATTATTGAGCTAATTTGCCACACCAAGCCTATAGCGTTTGTGTATTTTCAATACTTACATACATGCTTAACTACGATTTCTCGAGATTCCAGTTGATTTTTTGTCTTTGTGAGATTAATTTTTTAACGTCGAAACACTGTTTAAAAATGTTTTTATCTTAATGTTAATTTTAAGATATAGACGATTATTCTTTTTAAATTATCATGATTCTTTTTTCGAAATAAATAATATTCGTCGCATGCACGCCAATGTTACATGTACCAATATCTTCTAGTCTGCCAAAGCATGCACTTTTCAGTGGATATTCATTAGTTATCTAACTGAAACGTATACTCAAATAAAGCAAGTTTTTTCATCCGTAGCCAAGCTCGCATTGCACTAAACCAGTGTGCAGCAGTATAATACTTCATAATAAAGTTATTAGTTTTTTATATTCTTTATTTATCTTTAGCGTGCATGTTCCGACTCTGCGGAACTGCAATAAACTTGTTCAAGTTGCTGTCACAACACTGGTTCAAAGGCAATATTTCGCTTCGGTAATTGTTGTGAACACTGTTTGTTAAAACACATTACAAATGAGTTACGGCGATGCATTTGGCACTAGTGTTGAATGAGATTGCGTCTTGGGAAGCTCAGACATAGGCTTGCCGACTACTTAGATATATCTACTTCAGTATAATTTTGAAACGATTCAATGTATAACGTTGACACAATAGCATGCATGCATGCATTTTAAAAATTACCTTGCTTTAGATAATTAGTAGTGATTCAAACTTTATTGAGTTTTTTAAGTTATTTTAAGCTGCACTTGTTGGCAAGTAACCTGGCACAATCTATGTTGTAGTAAAAATTTGGGTCACCATGTACTTAAAAAAAACGAATATATGGTTATTTGGATCTACATATTACCGTTTATTTATCAAAAAAAATTTAATCACAAATTCATTCTGAGGTATTTACACTGAGATAATACAAGGCCGGGTCCTCTGTATCGTATATTTCTTTTAAAGCATCTAACACTAAAGACTGTATGTGATCAACCTGAAAATAAGGAAAAGTAGGTAGGTACTTATTAACACGATTTTTACCTGTATAATTATTAAAGAAGAGCATGCTACTCTCATTTGTAATTACCTGATGAGGAGGACAATAACCGTCATCAGTTGATCTGGCAATTGTGATCAACACAGGCGGAGGTATGTTCTTTAGTAGCGGCACTAAACCTTTCTTTACTAAGTCCTCAATTTCTTGTTCTGTGCTTATGTGGTATGGCAAACCCCCCTGGTCACGTGTACAGCCACCTGCAAATACTGCCCACCAGTCTGGCTTTTCGTTTAATCTGCCCGCTTCTGCTAATACTGCTGTGGCTAGCTCGTCAACCTAATAAAAATAATTTTATTAAATAATAGATTTCTTCATAATGCCATTTTCCAAATATCAGCGTCTTACTGAACTAACCATGTCGTACAATTTCGACTTTTCACCCGCATAGTTATCCAAGCTATCATACTGCTCTAAGTGCTGGAACAAGTTCTCAAGTTCTTCTAGTTGTCGCTCCCGCGCTGCGACAACTTTATCAATTGTATCCGCTTCGTCGACGTCCGGAACTTCGAATTCAAATATCGGTTGCAGTCGATCGTAAACATTGATGTTTTTGTATAAACCGAGAAAAGGGTTTCCAGTGCTGAAGAAATCCAAATCAATATCGAGTACATAAGGATGTTTAACATTAATATTAGTTATAAATTTTTGATTACTTTCGTCGGTAGAAAATGAAGAATCTGAAAGTTCGGCTGATGTGAATATAAATTTTCTCTTATTAACTAATTGCGGTGAGTACAACGCATCAGAGAGGTAATACGGTTCCTTGCAGTCGACTCGCAGCTCGCCTGACGTCGGATGATCACCGACGTGTATAGGTCGCGTGTCATCTCGGAATTGACTCGCCCACGGCGGACGCAACCACACTACTCGGTCGATGTGTCCAGCTGCCGCTGCCGGTACAATCCAATTTTCTATTTGTAATAATGGCAAAACATGTCTCCCAGAACGTGCTTCCTCTCCTTTCAATTTACGATCAATGAGCATATCAGGATGCGCATCTAAGTGTAGTAGAGTCGTTCCCTCCAATGGCAACTTTTTGCCTCCAATAGCTGAATAAATAAACTGCAATGCATCATTATGTTCTTCTACTACATAAATGGGAATCTTTTTGAATTTCTTTAGATTCGTCATTCTGTATCTATGGTTAAGCGATTATCTTGACTTATTAGCATATTTTTGCTGTGGAGAAATCTGAAACAAAAGCGATAAAATTAACTAGATACGTATATCGCCTTTCGAATTCAACAAACAAAATAGTACCTAAGGTTACGCTTCTCAAACTCAAAGATACGTACTCCTCCCGTTTTAACTTTCATAAATTCAGGTGACAATTATGATAAATGTACATACATACGACGTAACACTGCGACAATGATATTGTCGCTTGATAACGCCTCTTTTAGTTATTACTCAAACAACATAAACAGGGTCCATAATATTAAACGCAATGTTGCTTATGTAAACAACCGAGCCCTCCCTTGCCGAGACAACAGACTTTCGCTCTTAAACTTATTTAGTCTATTCGAGGGTTTTTCCAATTTGGGTCAAGGTCAAATGATGGAAAAATTTGAGGGAAGGCCCACCCTGCCTATCATAGCTACTGCGCACTTGATCCGACACTTTTTGCAAGGCCAAATTTTGTACTTACCGATGATACTAAAACTTTGCAGTGCCATATTTGACGCAATATAATTCCCATAGTAATATAGTGTAGCTAAATTGTAGAAAACTTTGGTAAAGAAATTGAAGATTCCGACAAATTACTTCGTCGAGCTGTTCTATACTTAGGGCCAATTTTTTAATGCTCAGTTAAATTTTAACTGGAATAACTTTCAATATTTGACGATTCTTCCATACTAAATACTGTCAAATGTCAATTTTATCCTACAGTTAAAACATACCGATGATTGAAAAATCGGTATGTTTTAACTGTAGTATTTTTAATGCTAACATAATTTTTTTCTGACATAAGTAATTAATATGGTATGCAGTATGCAGATGGATAGTATGGATACAATTATCATAAATACATATAATATAGCATAGAAATATGCCATAAGTACCAATAAAGATGAATAAATTCGCAAACCTAAATAACATAATAATATACATTAAAAACGATCCAAAATGTACTGTATAGGATACATGATTGTCATGATAACACTACCTAAATAGAAGACACTGCAGGTAAAAATAAAGTGCCTGGTCTGGTCTGGTAACCCAACTTTTTCTTTGCGTCATATAATTATTTGTATTCATTGGGGTATGGGTTGCGGCGTGCGAATCTCATCAAAGCAGGCCATGAGCGTTTTCCATTAGCGTCGGCAAACTTCCGGCTGGCGCGCTGCGTAGTTGCGCGGTAGCTTGAGCGCGGCCGGGTGGCGCGGGATGGCGCGGGGTGGCCGGGTGCAGGGTGCTGCGGAGGAGGGGTGTTGTGACGGCAGTCGCTGAGGTCGATAGCGCGCGTCACTGACGTCACTACGCTACTACGCCCGCCCAAACATACCCCCGCGCGCGCCTCTCCCTCCTGACCTATTGCGCCGTTACGCCCACCTGGGTCAAGGTGTGGAAGCTCGCTGGACCCGCCCGGATGCTTAAATACCTTCAGGCGACACTGTTTTTGTTACATTATGTTACGTTGTTAAATAAAGGTGAACAATCGTTTTTCCATCATACACAAACAGACGCCCACGTTCGAAGGGATGTAAACATTCATTGATACCTGCACGCGTTCATTAATAACGCGTATGAGTACGTAACTTGACTATAAGCCGCGTTCGCTCTATTGAAGATTCACGTTAATATTAGGTATACCTGCAGTCAGTGAATAACGGAATATAAAAAATCTAAAATTGAAAACGCTAACAAATCATACTAAGGTAGATTTAATTTCTTTTTCATTTTAGCATCATTTACCATTGTATTATTTACTGGAGAAAATTTGCTATACCTTAATTGAAATGTATTTAGTAGTTTAGTTTTATTATTATTTATTTTAATATGATGCGATGATGAAATGCGATTTTGTACGCACATTAAGGTGGTTTGCGTGTCGTGTCCTTCCTGTCTCGTTCCCCGAAAATAGGCAATCCTCTTAGTACTCCCTATACTACCAAGATACTTTTTGCCAAGTTTCAGCTCTCTTGGTCGTGTAATTTCAGCACTTTTAGTCAGTCAGTCAGTGAGTTATTATATGGAAGAGTTTTCTATAATACGCCGTTGCGTTGGCCGACCGTTGGAATGTTCATGTCATGATATGTCTAGTGACTGGCTTCACTATAGCTGCACCATAGACAGCCCGGTTGCCGCAGTGGCTGGGCAACCGGCTGCTGTGCATCGTCTGCAAATGCATGCTTTCGTCAAATGACGCAACGTCGACAGACAATAGGATGCTAATGTGCATGCATGATGCTTTTTTTTAAGCGGGGAAAATCAGCGAATGGCTGCTCCGCCTGGGTGAGGCGGGAGGGAGTGTCAGACACTTACTGACTAAAAACCACCCCGTTTCTTCTCCTGCACGTCGAGCCGGAGCCCCGGTTACCCGTTAGGTTCTCCGCGACTTCAAATCGGCATCGGCCCTATTGGGCCCCACCTGTGGTGGCCTGATGGCTCTTTGAGGCGTCTGTTTCTGGTCGGACGGGGAGCCACCCATGCTCGCCGTCCGCAGGCCCATGCATGATGCCTTTGGGTTACTTCTGTTATAGACAGAAAGAACTGTAGAAAGATATGTAGCAGTTTTTTTTAGCTTTCGGTATTAATTATTGTAGTTTATAATTAAATACCAAAAACTAAAACCGGTTTAAAAACCGACTCATACAACTCCTCTTATTTAAAGTCAGATAATTTATATACTAAAATCTTTTCCTAAATGTAATACACACTTTTCTGAAAACCGCATCAAAATCCGTTCAACCAATCGCGTCGAGGGTGGTGAGATAATGGCGCACGAACATAATATTGATCAAATTGAGAGTCTGTTTTTTTTTTTGAAGTTGGTTATAAGGAATTGGGTTGTTTCCAGGGTATCAAAATTAAAAATCTAATTAGTCCGTCAGTTAGATAATGAAAAAATATTAGACACGTATTTTTTATTTTCTCGTATTAAGTTGCAATACTTAGATAAAATGGCGCTAAGTTTAGGAGTGGGAGGTAGTTACGTCATAAAGTGCTACAAAATGTGGGACGTTGTGACATCAGACGATATTTCAAATTAATCTAACGTCGAAATTATTTAATTTTGTGAGAAATTAAGGAATACGTGTCTAATGTTTTAAAGTAATGGAAACTACCCTATTCTAACATAACATAACATCACGCCTTTTATCCCCGAAGGGGTAGGCAGAGGCGCACATTATGGCACTTAATGCCACTATACAATGTAACACCCACTTTTTCACTATTTATGTTATGAGTCCCATGTAATAGGGGGTGAGCCTATTGCCATATACCTGGCACATGTCCAGACTCCGAGCTACTACTGAGATTTTTAAAAACCCAGTAATACTTTGCCCGACCCGGGAATCGAACCCGAGACCCCTTGCCTGGCAGTCGCACTTGCGACCACTCGGTCAACGAGGCAGTCTTTAAATTTAATTTAAAGAAATCCAATTTAATATAAAATTAATGACTGCACTAGAGATGCAACGAATAGTTGTTTGGCCAGATACCGGATACCTGATATTCGGCCGGCAGTGTGATACCTACATTTTGAGTTTCGTAGGTGCGTGTCGCGTACCGCCACGCCGCTCTCCGTGCAGGTTTTGACTTGTTATTATAAAAAGCTAAAATTATTTAAAATAATAAAAAGATTCAATTACAACTGTGTCTTTATTTATATTTCATTTATAAAATCTACTATCCGGTATCCGAACAGATAGTAGATTACCAACCGGTATCCGGCCGGATAGTAAATAACGGCCGGAAAAGCCGGATACCGGATAGTTACCGAATATTCGGTGCATCTCTAGACTGCACAGTTGGCGCGGACAGCGCGGTGGCGGTGACTGGACAATCGGCTGCAGCGCAATATGCCGCGGGTTCGATTACAGTATGAAATAACTCTTTCTGTGATCCATAAATTGTTGTTCCGGGTGTTGTATATGTACAATACAGTAGAAAATAACAGTTCTTTTTTTTTTAAAGAAAAGAAATGTTACCTATGATTTAAATGTAGGAATTAAGTTTAACATAATATTATGCCTTCACATATCGAAGGCATCAATTTATTTTTAGAGGTGCGGTGGCAAATGTTTCGGTTTATCTGTGCTGACTAAACACCAAATGGAGTTTCTAATGTGTTGCTGACCTTTTAAAGATACCGTAGGATGAGGTTAAGTATTGGGTTTCCTGTAACACACACACACAACACAATAGTCTTTATATTGGTTTTCTGTAAAGGTGTGTTATTTTGTTGTCTTACTTCTCTCCCTTTTTAACATAAGAAGATTTTGCAGCAGTCTAGAGGACATTATAAATAACATTTATGTATAAGTACATAGTACATGCACAAGGCTGCTTGCATTTATATATATAAAAATGAAACCCGTTTCCGGTTGTCACGCCATAACTTGAGAGCGGCTAGACCGATTTGGCTGATATTTTTGTTGTGTTTGTTATAGTCAGGAGAAGGTTTTTATGACAGAAAAATGTCCTGAAATTCCTACGGCAATGGGAGAAACGGGATTGCGCGTACGAAGTCGCGGGCAGAAGCTAGTATAAGATACAATAGAAACTACATCATGTCTTGCTTAGATCTATGTTCCAGTAAACAGATTAAAGAGAGAGCAAGATTTCTTACTGATTTAGACATTTTGCAAATCAGATGAAAAACCGTATCAGCTTCGGTGGAGGGTACATTAGAATCATTTTTTATTGGAAATCACCTACTTTAATCCAAATTTTTCATTAACCATAAGAACAAACATTTCAGATTCTTTTAAGTTCTGGCTTATTATAAGGGGTTTCAAATAATTATACAAATTAAGAAAAATAACTTAGTTTTAGATTGTCTAACTACCTACACAACACTACCTTACACTAAAATCAATGAGGGTATCAATACATTATATATGTTAAGAGCTCCATCTTGAAAATTAAGTAAGGAATAGACTGTAAAACATTGTTTCCTAAGTTACGTAAGTTTTAGCGGACTCAGGACCTGATCTTTCATCAAAGGAGTATGAAAAATGTTTATTTAAAACAGGTTTCAATATATTTCTCCTTTAAGTAGGAGCCGGGATGATGATAATTGATAGCGTCTCTCTCTGGATTGGATCAAGAAGACAGGTACATAGACCACATAATATATTAAAGTAACAAATTGAGAGTTAATATTCTGAACTGTAAAAATAGAAAATTTATAATTAAGTATATAAGTGGTAAAATTTTACCTCACACAGCAGATATCGTAAATTATTCTTCCTTAATATGAAAAGACACAATAATTACTTATATTATCATAAATAAATATTTCTAATTTGAAACTAATGAAATAAATATTATAAGTTTTTGTTGGTACTTGGTTATGTTTGAATTTGACATTTATTTGTTGTGGTGACATATAATTTAAAAAATAAATCTGTCAATAATGGTCGTGACTAGATACTAGTAATTTTAGTTAATATATCAAAGAATAACGTAATTTTATTAATATTATTTTATTATATTTTATTATTATTCTATGGTTAGATTCTGTAACTCCCTCGGAACAATAACTAAAGCAAGTTATTGTTCCGAGGTAACTCCCGATTATCGATCTTGATTTTTGACAGTGACGATGTAAAGATTATCCGCGCGCCTCTGCCGGCGATATTTAAGAAGTTGTCTAAGAACGACAATTTGCTTCGAGTTGAGGATATCAAGTTTAAACACAATCAAATGGATCACGATTACATACAGAAACCTGTTTTTAATAAAAGCAGAAACAAAATATTTTTACGTTCCTCAATGTAATACTTACGGAGATTCGGGCATAAGATTTCATTTATTTCCAAAAAACCAAATTATGAATCAAATAAATCTTCCTGTATGGAAAGAGGAGAGATCAGCTGTAAAACAATTAATTCTCTCAGATTTACCAAGCAGTGTAAATGTATTTATTTACTTTTATGTACTTTTAGAAACCTTGGTGACTTGTGTTAGTGGTTTGGCCTTAAATGTGGAGCATTTACAAACAAGAAATTGTTTTCTTTTTTAAAGATAAAGATAAAAAGACTATTCAAAATGATGTCATTTAGCTATTGGTGTTTTGTTTGGTATAAATAGGCAGACATGTTCTAATTATTTTAATAATATGTGCCCCATGCTGAGTAAAGTACTCAAAGTTGTTATTCCTTGGCCTGACACCGAAGTGATAGGTACGTAGTAACTTACCTGAATCATTCCAAAAATATAAAAATACAAGATTAATATTAGACTTCGCTGAGACTGTTCTTCTTCTGTTTAAAATGTAGAATATTGACGTACTCTCATACAATACAGAGAAGTTTAATATTGGAATAACTCCGTCTGGCAATAACTGAATTAATTGCATCTTATGGTGGTCGAGCATCAGATAAACATATTGTAAATTAATCTTAAATAAATGCGAGTTTAATGATGGATCGATGGTGGATAAAGGATTGAATTCGAGTGTAATGAAGTGAGTTTAAGATATTAATTGAATAATTTTATTGATTTTGCAATTTACTTAAATTTAATGTAAGTATAAGTGTAAATTTTAAAATTAATTACATAATTTACAGTTAATATACACAACTTAAAATATAAATAATTTATAACTAAAATATTTACACAATTACACCTTAAAAAAAAAACTTAAAAATTCATGAACAAGAAACCAAATAAATCTGATTTATATTTAATAAATTTTGTGACTGCCTCGTTGGCCGAGTGCGGCAATGGGTCTCGACTCGAGTTAGATACCCGGGTCGGGCAAAGTAATACTAGGTTTTTAAGAATTCTCAGTAGTCTCTGGAATTGTGCCCGGTATATGGCGATAGGCTCACATCCTATTACATGGGACTCATAACATAAATAGTGAAAAGTGGGTGTTACAATGTACAGTGGCATAATGTGCACCTCTGCCTAGTTCTTCGGGGATAATAAAAGGCGTGATGTTATGTTATGATAAGTTAAATTCTGTGACGTAAATTATATACCTACGAAAACTGCCAGTGTCGTTCTTAGACAGCTTCACAATTCTGACGCTAGAGGCGCTAGTTAGATCTTTGCATCGCCAATAGGATTAATGTTTACAAAAGAACCTAACGGGTAACCGGGGCTCCGGCTCGACGTGCAGGAGAAGGAACGGGGTGGTTTTTAGTCAGTAAGAGTCTGACACTCCCTTCCGCCTCACCCAGGCGGGAGCAGTCATTCGATGATTTTCCCCCCTTCAAAAAAAGGCACTACCCTACCTACATAGGTTTTTTCCACATTTGGATTTGCTGGGTACCTACTTCGCATACTAGGTAAGTCTAATAAGCATTAATAAGCATAGAACTTCGTTAACCGAAATATAGCGGCTAGAGCGTTTGGTAATTGTTTTTTTTTATAGTGTTTGATTAGGGTGTGCAGTTGATCTGATGATGGAGTCAAGAGATAGTCGAGGGAACTCCTCGAGGATTTGTAGCAATGACCCCGTGTTTGGGCTTTATTAATTTGTTTTGATGAGAACTTTAGACTTAAATGAAAGTAGTATGATAGTTAAGGCATCTTCTTAACGATTAATACCTACTATTAAGCGTTTACAATGTCTACATGGTGTAGAAATTATACACCATGCAAACACGGCACCGATATCTCACCTATCAGTGGGTGGGTAACATATAAGTGCGTATGACTACTAATACTTATTTTTTGTTTTTTAGTTTTTACCTTTTACTTGTTTTTGGTTTTTGAAGTCGGTTTTTTTTTTCAAAACAAAAGTATACAACTCAATTTCAGTTTCATATATAAATATAACTAACTGCTAAAATTTCGTAAAATTAAATCGGATCAACATCTTTAGCTATGAAGGAACAAGAAGGACCAATCATTATTTAATCGTCTCTATACAATTAATAATATACATTAGTGTCCCAAGGCGTTGTGGATAAGTAATATACGGGGTATTACAAAAGGGATGTAAATAAGTAGACTGTTTAACTTAAATATAACTTTATTGTAATACAAGTATATGGTTTATTACATGGAAGATATAAACTGGGTCCAAACTAAAAACGCCTCATGATTGCTCATAAAACAAAATAGAATGACAATGAATCAGATTCTATCCTCAATGATTAAAAACAAAAATTAACACCAAATGAATTATTACTTAAAATTAGCAACTTATTTTTAACAATAAGTTTTACATACTTCATTTAGAGGCAATTGTAAATGCTATTATTTACTTAGTGTATATGTTGACTTGAGAGCCTTTCATTTGAGACTTGCACCTATTGTTTTTTTTTAACTGAATTCAAGTACGTAATTATTAACGAAGACATTATATTATTTTTAGACGTCGTATCTTTTGACTGTATAATAATATTGCAAATGTTAATTTAAATTTAATAATATAAAAATCTTTTTTGACCATTTACATTTTGAATGACACACAAACATCTTTTAAAAAGCGCCCACAATTTGGTGAATCTTAAACAACTATAGGTGCGAACTAACGCTTAACTAGGTATATCGCCAATTTTTGTGATAGTCAACTGAATCTTAACCTAATGTAGTGATTTTCTAATCCAAGGTCACTAAGAATAATGATATTATTAGTAGATTTAATCTACACAACGTATGAACTCTTATCGTTATCTGATGGATATTTTAAATTATTAATGAATATAAAATTTCTTATAATGAACTGAGGAAGGGGTGGGGTGAAAAAAAAAACTGTATCTATACTTACCCACTATGGATTGCAATCCTCCAAAGTTCAACTGATTCTCTTTCTTAAGAATTTATTTTATTTTGAATTGTATTTTGTATTGTCTTTGAAGGATTGCAATCATCTCACCAATAAGTGAACGATTTCTTTGTACTTTGTTCACTGTCTATAATATATTATAGAAGCCATTTGAGGCAGTGCTTTATATTTATAAAATTTGACCAGAGACAAAACAAAATAGAAAACATAAAAATTTTAAGTAATGTCTAAGAGGCATATAGCTCGAGAATCGTAATTCTGTTTAACTATGGAAGTTGCAGTCCCATATGAATGTTTAGACCAAAAAGTATTCCATTTAGATATATCCAGTCTTTATAGTTACATTACGTCTTAATGGCAGGCATAAGTAAATTACCTATACAGCTATATGCCTAATAGACGGTACTTGTTGCCCGTCACTTACTCCACCGATGTTTTTAGCTTATTGGGATTAAAATATTGTAATTAACAAATAACAGCTATGTTGTATTCAAGTTATAATTTGTTTTGTAAAGAAAAATTTAATTCGATTAAATATTCATTGTATCTGTGTCGGTGTAGAAATGAAGACAATCATAATTATGTGAACTGTGTTACGTAATGTTGAGAGTGCCCATAGGGCAGACGCAGAGTCCATAGCTCCGGGTGAAGCGTGAGGCACCGTGTGGCGAGTGTGGCGGGGCACACTCAGTTCCGCGCCTTTAGTTACATGATACGACAGTTCTCTTCTCCCTCACGAAGTTCACCAAGCTGGAATACAAATGCAATTAACTCTTTGAGTACCGTCATTATAGACACAATTAAAGAACAATAGGTTGCAGTCACCGGTGACCACTTGGTAAACACCAAGTTTGACAGTTTAAATAGAATGATTTTACCAGGTAAGGCACTGCTAGTGTAGATGTAAGACATCGACTGACGTAAATAAAGACAACATAATAATATAACATGATACTTAATTGTTAAATAAACCGTACCTGCTCACGACGCGGATATTTATGCGCGAGTTCGCGGTGTCTCTGTGCGCTGGTGCTTATTTGTCGCCGCTGTCTCTCCGAAATTGCTACCTCCTGTGGGATACAAATTGCAATTTTAAAAATGTTACATTTCAGAGTAGAAGATTTATTCGCAACCTGTGAAATACATGTAGCAGGAAAACATAAAGAAATAAGAATATACCTCCTGGTCGTTGTTCAACAAAGCAGTGGTGAAGGAGTCTGCAACAAACCACTTCTGGCCTTTCATGACGATGTCTCGTGGTGGGTCGTGGTCTACACCGGCGTCGGCAGACCAGACAGTGGCTATTGCACCGGGCTCGAGCTTCACCGTGCGGTGGAATTTGAAGATCGTCTCCTGGTCACCAGCTTTACGGAGAATCTGGTATCCACCGAGGCTCAGTTCCTATGTTAAGTAAAAAAAACACTTCACTATTTAAAAAATTACATGATTCATATGTATTCATTCATAGGTATTGAAGTCAAATAAAAGACTCAAAAGTACAAGATTAACATCAGAAATTACCTTCTTGCCCTTGTTCCTGATCTTGACGAAGCTGCCGTCGGGACAGGCCTCTGCGACTTCTAGGTCACCTTTGGCGCTGGAGGTGACGCTGTAGTCGTTGAGGCTGCGCTCCTCGGTCTCGTCGAGCAGCGTGCGCTTGCGTGCAGCGCGCAGGGGCGTGGCGCGCCGCGACGGCGTGCCGCGCGCGCCGCCCGCGCTCATCGACACACTGGCCGACGCGCGGGACTCGCGGCCCGGGGACTGGCTGGTCAGGTTCAGCCTGGGTGGGACAGACATCGAACATTCAAATCAGCTTTTACACTATTTCAACGATTCACACTATGTACACGTCTTTACATAATATATAATTATCAATAAAATTGTAAAATGAATTTGTTGCGCAGTATGTATTTATACAAAAACATTATCATGTGTATATAAGTACGGGAAAAAACATGTTTCGGCACGAATGGACCGGATCGATACTACTCGTGAAACAACCTAATCCTAAACCCCTAACCTCCAAAACCTCCTCCTCTTCTGGTTTTGCGGGTGTATATGGGGGAACAATACTAGAGTAACATTTACCTGTCTTCCTCGCCTTCAAGCAGCGCACGGTAAGTGGCGATTTCATAGTCGAGGGAAATCTTGATGTCCATGAGCGTGGCGTACTCGCGCAGTTGCGCCGCCATCTCGTCCCGCAGCCTGGCTAGTTCCTGCTCCAGCGAAGCGAGGTCCTCGGCGTGTCTGGCGCGCTCAGTCTCCAGCTGACGCTCCAATTCACGGCAACGGTTCTGTACATCAACTACATTGTTAGCTCTGTTTATGACCCTACTGGTAGTGTTTATATTGGAGGTAAATGAAAGCTACGCTTTAAGGTTAATATGTTAAATTCACAAATAAGTTCTGTTCCAAATTTTTAGGTAACACATCAACATCATTTAAAATGTTTCAACAAAGCGTTAACCTCTTGTATATAAGACACAATAGAAAACACATTGTGACTCGCTTAGATAAACTTTTATATCACTGGTTAAGCCACCACAACCACAACTAGCACCAGATAGCCATTTGTTAAAAAATAGTTTTACAAATACAATTGTTGAAGAAAGATCCACCTAATAATATGTTTGCTATGTTTAACTGATCATGTGTGGGGAGGAACATAAATGACTTCGCCACTTACGCTGAGTGCCGCATTCTTATTTTCCAGGTCGTTGAGGGTAGCATTGAGGCTGTCGATGCGCGTGCGCATGGTACGTAGCTCTTCTACGGCAACGGTAGCAGCTGTGCTGTTTCGGTTGGCCGCGTTATGCAGATTCTTCATCTAAAGATAAGTTTGATAATTAAATAAAACACATTCTAATGAAATGTAAGCTTTTAGTTAAATTAATTGATTTTTAATATTCATATACTGTTGTAATCACCTTGTTTTCATATAGAGCTTCAATTTCATCACGGTTGGCTTTGATATTAGCCTCCTGTTGTTCACGCAGCTCTTGCAGGCTCTGTTGCAACTTAGCCTCATACTGTTGGGCCAGGCGACCATCTGTAGTAAATAGTAATGTAAATTAGTTGGAATTAGAAGACTTTCTTCATTAAATCAGCCTTATTACTTTGTTTCTTTCGTAGTGGCAAAAAAATGAGTGGTTCTCATAGATTCTTAATATCTCAGCTTTAGAATTTCTCTATATTTAGATTGGATTTATTGATTGAATTATAAATTAATAGACAGGTATCATGGACAAGGTTCCATTAGCGTCTCTAGTAGAAATTATGGCGCAAGTCTTCATGCAAACTTACCAATTTCGGATATTTCGACCTGGCGTCTGGTGCGTGTCTCCTGCAGTTCCTGTTGGAACACCTGGTCCTTGAAGGAGAGCTCTTCGCGCAAGCTTTGCACTGTGTTCTCCATGTCGATGCGGCACAGCATCTCCTCTTCCAGGGTCTTACGCGTATCGGCATATACCTTACGCAGTTTCTCCAATTCTTTACCCAGCTCCTAAAAATGAATATTTATTAAAAAATTGCTTGAAAGAAACAATTAAATATTTATATAATTAAGGCTGAAAGGCAAGAAAGTTATAAATTACCTTTGATCACAGTAAGTAATTTTCTTGCCACATAACAATAAAATAACATGAGTTGTATTATTGGTATCTATGTAGGATTATAGGTATACAAAACAAATTATGTTGTTTTATTTGTTGGAGACAAAACATTTCATATGTAATTCTAATTACGTGTATATTGTGCAAATAGTATGTATAGTATTATAACAATTTTTTAAGAAAGTGATTACAGACCCTGGCTTCATCTTGAGCCTTCTTCTTATCAGCCAAAGCTGTGTTGTACTTGTTGCTTTCCTCGGTGAAACGCGTCTCATAATGACGCGCCAAGTTTTCAGCTTGTTGACAATCTTTAGTCTTTTTGTCCAAGCTGAAAATGAAAATTATATTTAATTTAAAAATAACTTGTGATTATTTATATAAGTCTTACATTGTTTTTAACTAATTTCCTAAGATGATAGATGATTGTCTTCCTGATAAGTAAAATATGATAAGTATTTGTTTAATTTATCAATGATGAACATTATACGGAAATAAGTCAACATTCCATTGATATAAATAAAGAGACGAGTTATTGAATATACAAAACCATGACACCTAAACGAGGTAATCCTCAGAAATAAAGCTGTGTTTCCATGTGGTGCCGATCGCGATGGCGCGCCACGTTATTGCGCAACCGCATAGGCGCACGGAATGTATTTGTAAACACGCCACTATCCGGTTCCCGCGTGTTTTTGTCTTTGTGCCGACATGAATCTCTCACATGAATCGACGACACGAATCTCTGAATCTGATATAGGTAACATACGTTTACGACGTTTTTTGTATCTCATGTTTCCCGTTCTTCAGGAAACAACGTTGTTTTACGCTGCGGGAAGAGTGGACCCCGTTAACTTAAACCAATTTAGTAATTAAGCTAATGGTGACTCATAAATTCGACAAGGATAACCTGCTGTCTCAAAGTCATTGTTAAATGCGGAACGGAAATGAGTATAACAGATAACATTATTATACGAATGCAGTATCCAGTTTTTCACTTCACAAATAAATTCCAATGATTTTTTTAAGATGACGACATATTTTTATTTGGAGATGACATAGGGACAAGCATGCCGTCATTCTCGTCATTCAAGGTACAACATAGTTTAGGTACTGCCGATGATGTTTACACAATTACAAAAATAAAGATTGCATGTTTGGTGCCCATCCTCGGCCCTACCTAAGGTTTATAATGTTGTGTTGCGTAAATCGTATCATGCCATGGCAACGTTTTATCGTTAAAAGGGTACATAGCCGATATTATAAATAAATACGAAAGAAAGACTGTCTTTCATTCACGTCGTAACGGAGTATTTTTATGATGGAAGATACCCATGATATTGGAGTCTAGTGAGATTTGTGATATTTTTTGACCAGGTCAGCGAAGCCGCAGGTGGTACTCTAGTAAATTATAATAATGTAGTTAGTTACTTCTGTTCCAAATACCTTAAAATATGTCCGTAAATAGTTACACATATACGAGTAACGTACGTAATAATTTTATTTCGCGACGCGCCGTTCATGAATTATCGTCTATTTCCATCAATATCAAAATAAGATTTCATGTGACCTAGTTAGTTTAGAAAATATGGCATACTTAAAATTATTTATTGTAATAAAACTATAGAATAATGAGTGTAATCTATTATCTAAAGTTAATCGCAACCATGTGTGTGTAAGTACAATTTGCGGTGCGGGAGGTCTTTGAAAATAGAGTAATTCATATAAATTCAAGTATGTAATGCTTGAAGTTACAACAGCAGTAAAAACAGTCTAGCAGTAACTTTAACGAATATCATTTTAAGAAATCGTCATCGATATTTTTAAAAGAATCCATTCGGAGAAGGTTGTATTGATGTCATAGCTACGTAAATAAGTTGGTTACGTCATTGCAAAGCTTTGATCAAGTTGTTACACAGGAAACGCTATAATGTGGGCTTAAAATATTAAGTGAGTAGCCAATTAGATCATGCTTAGAGAATTTGTTATGACTGAACCTTCGTATTTACTTGATTACGTCGGAGCAAAAGCGCGTAAGCTTAGACGGCGGCGTGGGCGGCGCGCCACAAGCGTGTAGCTGACGTAAACTGGCCAGGGTCAACAGCCGTAGCCTTTAAAGTTAATCTCTATGCCTAGGCGGAAACTTGATCGAACTCTAAATAGCCTTTGATTCCTTGTATATCAAAGTACCAAGGTGCAATTTTATTTCCCGTACTTCTCTTTCTCATTCAGTATTCATTGGATTTTTAAATTTAATAAAAATGTTATATGCATATATATATATATTTCGGCAGTGTTTTCAGTTGGATGGTAACTAAAATACCTCCTTGGAATGTAACTTTTTTTTATCTTAACTCGGAATTAAATGTTTTTATAATATTTGTAAATGCCGCGATTAGATAAGATGTTAAAAGACGATTCAACGAAAGCAAACGAAATGTTCAACATGGATTGCTCCCTGACCCAGTTTGGAATATTCGCGTGCATCAAGGTTGCGAAGTTTTATCCTCCCCCATATTACAATGTTGTTTGAGGCTCTGCTGTTGTTTTTGGGGTCGTGTTATCGTATTTAGGGATCTGTATTATTTACAACAGAGTAATGATGGCAAACATTTATTAAAACAGTGGTAAATAACAGGACATTGATATGGTTTTTATAGTAGTCTATTCTAATTATACTAAGGTAAATTAGTAGTAATCACAAGGAAATAAATTATTAACTATTAGGTACTGCTTACATTCAGCAAACAATGCATACTTCATCTACTTTTAATAAATAGTAGTGCAGTTATTATTGACTATACAATCTAATAAACAATTGAAAATTGAGTTCTATACTCGGAATTTTAATTCGATTCCAGATTTGACAATTTCAGTGTGGCAACGTTATGACAAGTACTAAATAGTGACGTTGCGAAATTATTCGATATGGAAATGCAATATTTCTGGATCGATTCTTCTCGTTTACAATAATTATAATTTTACTCTAGTGAACTAAGTATATCAGGAAATTTAATATTTCTGAACCGATAATTTAGTTTTGACGATTAATTAACGATCTAAGACGTTTCTTTTATAATTATGTGTGAAATAAATAAAAAAAATATAATCACGAAGGAACATGACAAATAAAACAGATAGACGTATTATGGTAATAAGTTATTTTATAAATTGTCGTCGTCATCGCTGTCGCTATCCTGTCACTTTCTGTAACATTTATTATAAAACACACACACTGATTGTTTATCGATTTTTGTGTGCATCACTACACTATTATATGTGGTATCATTATTTCACAAAATGACAGTAGCTATTGTCAAATCTGGAATCTAATTAAAATTCTGACTATAGGTTTACTCAAGGTCTAGTAAACACATTCTCATTTCCATGCACTAAGTTACAATGTTAAAGTGTGACCTCTGTGTGATAGGTACTAACATTGAATGTCTGCCGAAACTGGCAAACAGAGTCAAGGTGAACTTAAAAGACATTTATTATCACCATATGGATGTAGCCATGCACAATGCAATGTTAATGAGTGCTGCATTTCAGTGAAGGATGAATAATTATATGATAAAAGAATTTTCGTAACAGTTACCTGTCTGTAGATATTTTATCATGTAATGAAACTGAAAAGTAATCCATAATAATCTTTATATCAAACTTTGACAAGGTGTGTAAAATAATAATGTTATTTATACTATACCTAATTAATGATTATTTATTTATGTTAAGTATGATGTGCATTTGATGGATATAACCTTTTGAGTACTGTCAGTTAGGACACAATTAAAGAACAATAGGTGAGCGGACACCGGTGTCCTCGCAGTATTTGACAGTTTAAAACAGAGTTGCTAAGATAAGGGTATATTAGGAACCTTGATTATAAAGAGTAAGAACATTGGTGTTTGTGTATATCATTAAAACACATTTATAAAAGTAATTTTGAAGATGAGCTACTCTCACCTTGACACAAATTGATTGCTATCTAGGCCGGCGCCTAAGACTGAAAATATATTCATTATTTTTACTATACATTATTAAAATCTGGGTTTCTACTCCTGCCATATGCAAGGTCAAGACTGTTTAGCAAGCAAGTATTGACTTTACTGAAAAACACCTGACCTTCAGTCGTCTGACTTGTGATTAACATATTAATCTAAACCTTGCTTATAAAATACACAAAAATTATTACCCATTTGTAGTCAGTAGTATGTACCTTAGCATCAGTATGCATCATGACTATTGGCTAGTTTTGTAAGGTAGTCTAAGATTTTTAACCCAGGAGTGTTATTTTTGTTTATAAACAACTAGCACTATATTTGTGTTGGGACTTCTATAAGTATAGTTTCTACTTCTCAGTGTTGATAATTTACATAGCTATTTCTTGCCAATATTTATATTTTGAAAACAAATGTTGGCACTTGTGTCAGAAGTAGAAGAATACTGAGATATTAGTGTTATCTTAAACTGTTGAGAAACTAATTAAATATAGTTATTGTTTATAAACAAAATATGAAATACAGATTGCGACATTGGTATGTTACCGACATTATATTAGAATTGTTATACTTAAGAATGTGATTAGTTTGGTTAAATCGGGCTATGATGTCACTATGTCGTAAAAGCGAGGTCGGCCGCGCTCGTCACACCGCACCCGCTAAGAAACTCCGCCGATGACGTAAACTTGCTATGCTAAGGTTAGCCGGAAGAACTTGCCTCCACATGCACTAAGTTTATTTATAACTACATTATCAACAAATAGGTATAATCAATATAACGCAATCGTAATGGCTTACCGCTTTTTCAAATCATCGTTCTCCTCGTATAACCTCTTCAGATCAATTTCTAATTTAGCTTTTTCACGCGATGTGTCATCTAAGAGCTTACGGGCATCTTGCAATTCATGTTCGTACATGCCCTTGATATTAGAAACCTCGCGTGTGACCACCTCCTGTGTAGTCTGAATTTCACGACGTAATCCAGAATTCTCACTTTCCAACTGCCTGACTTTATCGATGTATGCCGCCAAACGGTCATTGAGATTTTGTAAGGCATCTTTCTCTTGAAGACGGGTGTGTCTTGTAGGGCTCAGCGGGCTATTCGGCCGGCCGGCAGAACTTGAAGGGCGGCTTCCCACAGGAGTGCTCGACTGCTGCGGGCTTTGCACTGATGACACCACACTTATATTAGACGACGATGTTACAGTCTTTTTCGTTTTTGACGACATTGTTATGCTCTTTTTCTGTCACAATAAATAGACTTAGCACGAAATATCCTCCACACGAGCGTACACCACTCCTTCAGCCAAGCGTAAAACTCACGAAAAGCAAGCGAAAAGCGAACGCTAAACGGACCAATCAAATCGTAATAGACCCAAGCGTCAAGTGGTCACGTGACCGTTGACTCATAATAAATGTTGCCAGTTATTTTATTGAATATTATGATTTGAAAAGCAAACAATCGGATATAATCGGAATACAATTTGGTTATCTTTTCTGCCACGATATCGGCGATCATGGTCTGTAACAAGTTTTTAAACCGATATTTTCATGGACTTAGACATGACTTAGAATGACTGACTAACCTTTAATAATATTGTGATTAAAATGAAATTTTTTCTTCTTTCTCAATCTTTTTTTCGTCTTCTGTATTTTTAGCAAGAGCAAAGGTTGAAGATAAATGTAGGGTTTTTTCAACGTCCTTGTCAGAGATATTACAATGATAATACCAACATTTTCTTCACCATAATTTGACTAGAAAATTAATACCCGAAATATTACAAAAAAAATACTGAAAGGAAACGCAAGTAAATGAACGAACTCGCGTCTGTCAAAATTGATATTCGGTTACGTCAGTCAATGTCAATGTGAAATTGTGAAATATTGTGAATGTGTTTGTTGTGTGGTGACATGCTGGAGGTTAGGGTAAATTAAATGGTAGTGAAAAACAGTAATTTATTGCCTGGGAACTGGACGTATTTAGTGCAAAATGGCAGACGTGAATAGTTTATTTGATTGTTTTGATGAGTCAGCAGCGGACGAAGCCTCTGTTCAACTTCCTGATGTTAAGAAAGAAAAAAGTGAACCGTAAGTTAACCTCACTTGTAACACTGACCGCACATATCAAGCTTTTCATAGTTAAAATTACTTAATTAATGAGTATTTTATTTCAAGGGGAGCTGAAGATCCTACAGAATCTACTTCTTTAAAACGGTTGCACGAAGAAGTAGACGTTATTGAACAAACCACTAAAAAACAAAAAGCAGACGAAGATGATGTAGAATTGACCAGTGATATAAAGTAAGTTAATGCAATATGCTTGCAGTATTGACATAGTGAAGTTATTATCAATCTTTGTATAAAGTACCGTCTGAAATTCTTGTTATTATTTCAGTTTAGATCTTTTGAATGCACGTATTGTAATACATACACTTGAAACCCATGAGGGCTGTACACACGAGGTGGCAATACCACCAAACCATGAATATGCCCCACTTATGCCAATCACGGGAGAGCCAGCAAAGCAGTATAGTTTCATACTGGATCCATTTCAGAAGGAGGCTATACTTTGCATAGACAACATACAATCTGTATTGGTTTCCGCTCACACATCTGCTGGAAAAACTGTGGTGGCTGAGTAAGTTGTTTAACTTTCTGACTGTTTTTTTCAATATGATTAAACTTTTAAATGCGGGATTACACAATTTTGTGCAATACAATATGTTTTGCTTTTAAACTGTGCTATCAGCTGCTGTGCGATATGTTGTTTGCTTGATTTATGCAGAGTACAATAAATTTATACAATTTGTTGTTGTTGTTTGGGTGTTGCTAAATATAGCATGTTAAAAGAATACTCTAGTGTGCTGTCACATTTTTTTAATCAAATAAGAAGTATCATATTGGTTTATTCTTTCCATAGGTATGCTATAGCTCTATCTTTGAAGAATAAACAAAGGGTCATATACACTACTCCTATCAAAGCTCTGTCTAACCAGAAATATAGGGAGTTTTCCGAAGAGTTTCATGATGTAGGGCTTATAACTGGTGATGTGACCATAAACCCTTCAGCTTCATGTTTAATTATGACTACTGAGGTAAGACAAAATATTTTTCATGATATTTATACTAGTAAAGTTTTATTTTCTATGTAACTACTTAAACATTTAGTTTACTTGGTTTACAGATTTTAAGAAATATGTTGTACAGAGGTTCTGAAATCATGCGTGAAGTGGGATGGGTTATATTTGATGAAATTCATTACATGAGGGATAAAGAGAGAGGTGTTGTCTGGGAAGGTTGGTACATGTTTTAATTTTTTGTAGAGTATAACATAACATATTAGAGCATTTATTATATTTACACTGTAGTTTATCCTAGAGGTTCCAGTTTAGCTTATTTTAGAGGACAGGGCACAATTCAGTTTCGTAAATTTCTATTACAATTTATTATTTCTTAAACCTTTAGTTGACAGAATTTTAATTCTGTTTAAACAATTCAGTTTCAGCAATAATCACTTTTTAATTATTACTTATTTTGCTGTTTAAAATTTCGTGGCTTGGCATAGCTGGCTTATTTATTCATATTGCACAATGTACATATAATAAGAAGTATTACATACAACTAATTCAGTACATTACCCTGTTAGGGCGCAGCAATTTAAAACATTACAAAATTTAATGTTGGCTGAAATTTATAACTATTTCTTAGAGCTATAACTATACCTACATATTAACTATAGTATGTGATAATGAATAAATATTTTTTCGAAACTATATATTTATTGAACACCCACTGTCAGTAAGTAACAAGTTTTCATTTGTTAAACTTAAATTTTTTTCTTTGAATAACAGAAACCTTGATTTTGCTTCCTGATAATGTACACTACGTGTTCCTGTCGGCTACGATACCTAATGCTCGTCAGTTTGCGGAGTGGGTGTGTCGACTGCACTCCCAACCTTGTCATGTTGTGTACACCGAGTTCCGACCCACTCCGTTACAACACTACATATTCCCTGCTGGAGGCGATGGTATACATCTTGTGGTAGATGAAAAGGTAAAACCTAATGACTAGATTATGTCTGTTATAAATTCAATTAAGTCTCTAGTAATTGTAATTGTCGTATTTAGAACACATGGCTGTGAATCAGTGTGGTTGTTCTATCTCTGTTATTTATACTCAATCTTCTCTGTTATTTATACCAATTATATGTCGTAGCTTTCTTTAATTATGCATATCTAAGACGGACTGTTTATTTTTATTATTTTTTATCATTGTCACTATTAAACTGTCAAACACCGCGAGGACACCGGTGACCGCCACCTATTGTTAATTGTGTCTATAATGACAGTACTCAAAGGGTTAAGCATAAGTAATTAACTGTACATATTTATTTTTAGGGTATATTTAAAGAGGACAACTTCAACACTGCCATGGCAGTTTTGAGCAACGCGGGTGACGCAGCCAAGGGCGACCAACGTGGCCGTCGTGGTGGCCCACGCGGCGCCAACCAAACTAATATATTTAACATCGTTAAGATGATCATGGAAAGGAACTTCGCACCTGTTATCATATTCAGTTTCAGTAAAAAGGATTGTGAAGCATATGCCATGCAGATGGCTAAATTGGACTTTAATACAAGTAAATAGAATTTCTTATGGAGTTATGGAAGTATTGAAAAACTCGTAGAAACATCTTTTAATAATAATTTTTATCTGTCTTTAGTTGAGGAAAAGAAGCTTGTAGACGAAGTATTTAACAATGCTATGGATGTGTTGTCTGAGGACGACCGTAAACTACCCCAGGTGGAGAACGTAATTCCTTTGCTGCGGCGCGGTATTGGCATACATCACGGTGGTCTCCTGCCTATACTCAAGGAAACTATTGAAATTCTATTTGGATTGGGACTTATTAAGGTGAGGCGATGTACCTCTTTGGTTTTCGTGGAGATAATATCAATTTGCTAGAAGTGTATAACAATAGGTAAACACTTTTAACATATTAAAATTGATATCGTTTTGATACAGGCACTATTCGCGACTGAGACATTTGCTATGGGTCTAAACATGCCTGCCAGAACGGTCGTGTTTACCAGCTGCCAGAAGTTTGATGGAAAAGATTTTAGATTTGTAAGTACCTCTTCTTTTTTGATTTGTTACCAAGTTGCTTATTAATTATAACTAGGATTTTATATCTTAAAAAGCTCAACAAACATTTTATCATTACTGAATTTAACAATTATTGTGATAACTAGATATCATCAGGCGAGTACATCCAGATGTCGGGACGCGCTGGTCGTCGAGGTCTCGATGACAAGGGTATTGTGATCCTGATGATTGATGAGAAGGTCACGCCCGCTGTCGTTAAAGGCATGGTGCAGGGTAAAGCCGATCCCATCAACTCCGCCTTCCATCTCACTTACAATATGGTAAGTTATTTATTACATTTTATATATTGCCTACATATTCATTTGGAGATGTGTTTTCAAAATGCATTACATATTATTATTATCATATTTATCATGTAATAAGTTCTAAACAAAATTATTCATTAAAACCTTAATAGATACCTAATATTAAGCTGTTGACAATTTTGTGACTATTAAGTTATATCATTTTGTTATGAGCTTATGGCACCGACTTCTAATCTATCAGTGGGTGGGTAACCTATCAGTACTAATAATAGTTAATAATTAGTTTTTACTTTTTGTTTTGTTTAGTTTTTGTTTGTTTTTAGCTTTTGGATCTTTTGAAGTCGGGTTCTTAAACACAGTTTTTATTTTATAATTTTTAGTGTAAAGCTACATAGACCCGTTTCATTCACATAGGTGCAAAGTTCTAATAATTACAAATTATACAAGCCCAAACACAAGGTAGTTATTGTAAACCGTTGAAGAGTTCCCTTAATAATTACATTTCTTCATCATCAGACCCTTAATGATAGTCCCACTCATCTATGTGTAAAGTTCTAATCAATACAAATCATGCCAAAACACAAGGTAGTTTCTATAAACCGTTGAGGAGTTACCTCGACTGTCTTTCGGCTCCATCAAGTTCAGTCAGTTCAGTTTAAAATACCTATTCAAAGTATTAACAAAAGCGTTCTTCCTATAACTTTCAAATCAAAAGTTCCCCTCGGATTCCCTGGGGTTCCTAGATTATATCCTGACCTGGTGACAATGGGACCACCTCGGAAGTGTAAGAATTAAAATCGGTCCACAAACGGCGGAGT